GACAACAACAGCACTTGCACAGCACTTGACGAATAGCGAACACATGGAAGATTTTGAGAACACCATAATTTTGGACGTGGAAAGACGAGAAAAAACAAGATTAACTTTGGAGAGTCTGCGAATACAGGAGTGGATAAGGGACGCGATGAACTTTAAAGAGGACGTTGACAATATAAACTGTGCGTACCGGACGGCAATACAAAGTAACAACTCAGATGGGCGAAGACAGTGACCTCAAAAAAAGAAAAGTGTTTAGTTAAATGTTTTGCGTTTATTGTAATGTAAATAGTTACACTAATTTAATATGTAAGTGCTATTGTGATAAAAAAGATATGTATATGTATATGTATGTATAATTTCCAGTCATAAGTAACTATGTCTAATTGTTGTGTCTATTATGTTTTTTGGTTTTTTTTCCAATAAATCAGACTCCCTGATGAAGGCGTGAAGTACGCCGAAACGCGTAGGAGAAAGAGGAAACGCAGTTTGCCTTTTTAATATACCGGCCGGAAAGCTCTACCAATGACCCAATAGGAAATTTTAGCACTGGCCTAAAAAAAAACAATCAATTCATATTTATTTTCTAATAAGAATTGTTATATATTGAATTGTTATTTTTTCATGGAGAAGTAATTTTTTTCATATACCTTGTTAATACCTACACAAGAACCGCATTAACAAAAAACCGATTAGACTCAACATATATTTCTTTACAGCATTTGTACCCCTGTCTTTATAGCGCACTCGATAAAGTCTTATTCACAAGTAAACAAACTCTGTTATTTTTAAATGACATTTTTTTAATAAATAATTTGCGCGGTTGACCGAAATGGAAACAAACAATGATTGTAATTTATTATAACAATAATTCGAATTTAAAACGGGCTGTATAAAGAAAACCAGCCTATTGTCACTTCATGTCAAATGAGTGATGCGTTTATACTTGTTTTCTAACTGATGTGAGAAACAAAAAACCGATTTGAAAACAAATTTAAGTCAATACACTTTTCAATTTCAACGTGTTTTGAAATTTAGTTTATGCATCCGTTTTGAATCACAGCGAACTGGGTCAAAACGCTTTATGTGTCAGTATAAACAAGGTAATAGAGCCTTTTGATTCTTAACAACATACATTAAACATTTTATTTAACTGTTGAAATGGTAACAATTACATAGGCGCAACAAGTTACTATACATTAAATTTTTGTTTTATAAAAATATATTTTTTTAATTTCACTTTAATTTAGACAGTGGAAATATTTTCATTTTAAAAATGTATCACATATTTTTGAAGATTTTCAAAGCTTTCAAAAAATACTGCAGAACACAACAATGCGCCTTAGGAATAATATATAAGAGATTGCCTTTTCTTAAAATTTCAGACCTTTTATTCGATGTTCAATCAAATTTAAATAAAAGGTCTGACATTTTAAGAAAAAGCAATCGCTTATTTTTGAATTTTTTTATATACTTATTTTCTGTCTCAAAATGGCTTCTCGGCCACGCGGTGGAGTAAATTGCAAAACGAAAAAGAAAAATATTTGAATAGGAATTTGTTTAAGAGACCGATTTAGTTAATAAAAAAGGAGATTGAACATTAATCATGACGATGATGCTTCATTAGACGCCAGGCCAATAACCTAAATCATCAAACAAACATCGTCCCAATTGAACTTTGTCTCCAATTTCTTTTATTAATAATTGAATAAATTTAATTTAGTTTATTTCTACTTTCCGAAAATTTCCAATGGTGCTGATTGCTGCAAGGATTATTTAGCGATTTGGAGCATAATCAACACAATATATGCACATACATATATATTATTTCACAGATCTCAGGGTCAGCTTAGAAATACGTCACCAAAATTATATAAAATTTAAGTAGGAATTATTTTTATTTATAACGTAAAAGCGCTATCTGACCCAATCTGATAAGTATATTTCCCCTAAAGTTAACCCATTTTATTTACTCACACTTTGTCTTTCGTGAAAATATATATTTTATTTAAAATTTTCAGATATGTACATATATTTTAAAATTTTTGCTTTAATTTTTGTCTCTTTTTAATATTTAATTAGATACGTTAAGATTTAAATAAGATTAAAACGAAACAGCACAGCAACCCTTTTCTGTTCATCTTGAGCACACAAAACCCTCTTTGTTAAAATTCGGCGCTGACCTGGCTTTTATATTTTCCATAAAAATACCACTTCGCAACCCTGGATTTTCACGAAGCGTTTCATTCGGGTCGTAGTTCCGCAACTTCGGGCCATTTGGTGGTGTATGCCATTTTGGCTGCCATATTGTTCACACTGTCATCGCCATATTGAATACCCTGTCAACCCTAAGATATCTCACTTGTATTCTTCCACAATGGCTTCTAGTGTTGTCAGTGGTAAAGTGGAAGCAATTTCAGTTTGTTGATCGTCCAACTTTTCCCCGGTCATTCGACAAACTGAATGGTGAATTTTTTTTAAGGACTTTGCACTTGCGTACGGTTTTTTGCTGGGCCATTTCTTCTCTTTTTTGTATGCTCTGAATATGAAAATATTGCAAAATTTACGCATAAAATAGATTGACTGAATTATATTTTTAGTAACGATATTACTCCATGTGAAAATCCTTCTGTACTTACATTTTCTTTCAAATAATTGTCAATCTTGGTTTCTCGGTTAGTAACTCGGGTATCCAAATTGAAAATATTGGTGGTCAGGGCTTTTAGTTGGTCCGATATATTTTGAAGTATGCATAAAACCTCTGGGAAAAAGTCGAAAATAAAATTCAGTAAACAAATATGTTAAGGTTTTAAAATGTATTTAAAGGGTTGAATACCATTGTTTATAGTGGGCATATTGGATTCGGAATTTTTCGAAAAGCTGGTCTGGGAACCGTAAAAGTCGGTTGTCGGAAGTTGGTATCCGAACCGTCGGCACCGGATGTGTTCAATTTTTTTTTCTTCATAGGTAATTGATATTCTGTAATAAATAAAAATAAATAAATCAAAAAGGAAAACAACAAATTATATAAAAGTCGTATACCTTTTAATGGCAGGACATTCCTCCAAGTTCTTTTCGGCAAATAGGTCTATAGCATCCATCTAATAAAAAATAAAAAATTTAGGCCGTATCAAGCATTTCGCTTCTTAATAAAAATTTATACGACGGTTCAAATCAAACGGAATGATTTCGACTAGTGAACTAAACTATCTTCACTTTCATTACTATCTTCACTTTCACTACTATCACCAGACATAGATAAGGAATCAAGCGAGCAGGCTGAACTGGTCAATTCCTCAGCACTGAGATCACATGAGGAATCACGTAAGCAGGCTGAACTGCTCAATCCCTCAGCACTATGACCACACACAAATCGTAAATTTTTGCATATTTTGCCGCACTTATATTAAAGGCCTTTTTTCGCGGCTCATGTATGCACGCGCGTCAAGAATTTCACAACGAATAAGCGTTTTGAAATTTGGCACCCAGGCGACATTGCTTTTCCTTTAAAAAATTGTTTTGATTGACAAACAAATCAATTAGTTTGACTGCTTGCTCATATGTGAAAAAATTAGCTTGACTACTTACTCATATGTGAAAGATAGCTCGC